CTACAGATACCCGCTAATATCATGCTACAGGTATTTTATCTCTCTTTTTGTAAGTTTTAATATTATTATTAAAATAATAACCTGCTCTTCGTGAAAAGCACAGGGCGCCAGTGGCAGACCTGACAATTCTGGTGTTCAATGGCAAATGCCAATCGAGCTCTATGGTGCCGGGCAGTGAGCACAGGGCCCACTAGAGGATGTCGGGCCCTCAGGCCACCCTCATGAAGTCTGTTTCTGATTGTTTGGTCAGAGACATTCACACCAGTGGCCTGCTGGAGGTCATTTTGTAGGGCTCTGGCAGTGCTCTTCCTGTTCTTCCTTGCACAAAGGAGCAAATACCGGTCCTGCTGATGGGTTGAGGACCTTCTACGGCCCTGTCCAGCTCTCCTAGTGTAACTGCCTGTCTCCTGGAATCTCCTCCATGCTTTTGAGACTGTGCTGGGAGACACAGCAAACCTTCTGGCAATGGCATGTATTGATGTGCCATCCTGGAGGAATTGGTCTGCCTGTGCAACTTCTGTAGGGTCCAGGTATTGCCTCATGCTACCAGTAGTGACACTGGCCCTAGCCAAATGCAAAACTAGTGAAAAACAGTCAGAAAGATGAGCCGGGAAAAAAATGTCAGTGGCCTCCACCTGTAAAACCATTCCAGTTTTGGGGGTCATCTCATTGCTGCCCATCTAGTGCACCTGTTCATTTTATTAGCACCAAAAGAAACTGATTAACAACTCCCTCTGCTGCTTAACTGACCAGATGAATATCCCAGGAGTTTCATTTAATTTTTGGAGCAGTATAATCTCTCTCTCTCTCCCTCCCCTCCCTCTCTCTCCCCCTCCCCCCCCCTCTCCCCCTCCCCCTCTCCCCCCCCCCTCTCCCTCTCTCTCTCTCATCTCTCTCTCTCCATCCTCTCTCTCCCCTCTCTCCATCCTCCCTCCTTCTCTCTCTCCATCCTCTCTCTCCCTCCTTCTCTCTCTCCCCATCCTATCTCTCCCCCTCTCTCTCCTTCCTCTCTCTCTCTCCCTCCCTCCTTCTCTCCCTCCTTCTCTCTCTCTCCATCCTATCTCTCCCCCTCCCTCTTAAATCTCCCCCCTCTCCCTCTCTCTCTATCTCTCTCATGATTTTTTTTTTTGTAAGTTGCAATATTATTATTATTAAAATAAACAAAACAAACAAAAAAAACCACATTTGCCAGTACTAAAGATGGCACCGCGTCGGCAGACGTCATCGCCGTGCACCGGATGTGCTCTCGGGGAAGGCAGCGTGTGACGCTTGTGCGGTTCCGGTGCTGGAGATCGGGCTGTTCTGGATTGGAGGAGGGTCGGCATCCTCCGGGGTAAGAGGGGGATGTATGTGGGGATTGTACAGAGCTGTGTGTCCCTCCTCCATAGCTGGGCAGCGCTCCCTATCATGATGAAGACATATGGAGGGACAGCTCAGTGTAGGGGTTTCTCCCAAATGTAAAGCGGACCTGTCCCCAGTACATGGTAATCCCTGTGTGTGTAGTCACGTCTGATACATCCTCCATGTGTATAGCTGGTGTGTATGACTGGCTGATCTATATATAGGGCTAACCATCCATACCAGTCCCTGACCCAAGGAGCTTACTATCTGAGACCCCTACTTCATATATAGGGGACAATACATCCAGGAGGCCACTCACCTACCTCTGTCTTTAGAGTGTGTGAGGAAACCTGCACAGGGAGAACATGCGGACAGTGACCTGACCGGGATTCTAACCAGGGACCCCAGCGCTGCAAGACAGGAATACCAAACACTACGCCCCCGTGCTGCCCCTTATATTAATGTATAACAAAAGGGGAACCGTTATTGTTTTGGACAGAGTGGAGAGGGATTAGAGCCCCTGTCGGGCTTGTATTGCTCTCTGTCCCCGTTAGGGAAATTCTCCCTCTCTATTCATCCTGTTTACCATTATCATTGAAAGTGAAAGAAAATCCCAAACTCCTGTTTGTTTTGCAGTCCAGACCGTCTTTAAGCTATCCTGTCCTCCTCCCATGTCACATATTTGTAGGATTTCTCCTGAGTCCAGTCCGGCCCATGTACATAAATGACCGGATTGGATATGTGCAGGAGCAGGTGGGCGTTTATAAACGTCCTTCCGCTTCCCTGCCTGTGCGTGCTCCCTGGGAGTGCGCGGCACCACGATATGTTGCCTGCTGTACGGGACCTCTGTGTGAGGTCTGGATCATGTGATCACTGATTGGCCAATCAGTGATCACATGAATAGTAGTAAGCAAGATGTCACTTCCTGACATAATTGCTTACTACGTGTGAAATCTGTGAATGATCACAGAGGTCACATGGTACAAGGCTATTCACAACAGCCATGTACCATGTGACAAGCTGTGACCAATCACAGCTCAGAGTATTTCTCAATGGCTGCAAGAATGCAGCCAGAGAGGAGAAATGTTTGCTTTTACAGCCTTTATGGGTGTAAAAGCAATCAGGGTAAAAAATAAAAAATCTTCAAAACCCCCCACAAACAGTACAGTGTCACTATGGTGACTGTATGTTAAAAAAAAAAACCCCCATAAATATTAATGTAAACCTTTTTTTTTTTTGAAAAATTATAATTTTTGGTTATAAACTAATTTGGGTTATTTTGTTATACTAAAAAGATAGCTGAATACATTTTGGCCAAGATTTATGAAGAAAGATTATTTAATTGCGAAATTTTATAAGAAAAACACTTTTTTTTTTCAAAATGTTTGGACGTTTTCATTTATATAACAAAAAAATAAAAATCCCAGTGGTGAATAAATACCACCAAAATAAAATTTTATCTGTCCCCAAAAAAATGCTAAAAAATTCATATGGGTACAGTGTTGCATGACTGCGCAATTGTCATTCAAAGTGTGATAGCACTGAAAATTGGCCTGGACAGGAAGGGGGTGAAAGTGTCCGGACTTGAAGTGGTTAAAGGCACTTCTGACTGTACACAGTACATATCGCACCCCAGAGATTTCGGTACTTTGGCAGCTAATTGGTCTTGCCCATGGTGGTGATGTTTGAATGGAAGAAAGAGATTCTGTGGACAGGTGTCTTTTATACACATAACGAGTTGTCGTTCGGAGCACCTTCTTAAACCGATCTGTGTACCACATGAGCACATAGCCAGTCTGTGGGAGCCAGAATTATTGTTGGTTGGTAGGGGATCAAACACTTATTCTACTCACTGAACTGCAACTCAGTTTATACCATTTGTATCATGTGTTTTTTTCTGGCTTTTTGGTTGATATTCTGTCTCTATCATTTAAAATACACCTATGATTAAAAAAAAAAAAAAAAAAGTATAGACCCTTAATTTCTTTGTAAGTGGGCAAAACTTACAAAATCTGCAGAGATCAAATAATTATTTTCACCACTGTATATTATTTTTTTTTTTTTTTGCAGTTTGTTCCCATGAAAGTGGAGTTCCCCTTTAACCCCAGATACCCACAAACGTGTTGTTAAAGGGGAACTCCACTTTCATGGGAACAAACTGCAAAAAAAAAAAAATATACAGTGGTGAAAATAATTATTTGATCTCTGCAGATTTTGTAAGTTTGCCCACTTACAAAGAAATTAAGGGTCTATACTTTTTTTTTTTTTTTTAATCATAGGTGTATTTTAAATGATAGAGACAGAATATCAACCAAAAAGCCAGAAAAAACACATGATACAAATGGTATAAACTGAGTTGAGGTTCAGTGAGTAAAATAAGTACTTGATCCCCTACCAACCAACAATAATTCTGGCTCCCACAGACTGGCTATGTGCTCATGTGGTACACAGATCGGTTTAAGAAGGTGCTCCGAACGACAACTCGTTATGTGTATAAAAGACACCTGTCCACAGAATCTTTCTTCCATTCAAACATCACCACCATGGGCAAGACCAATTAGCTGTCAAAGGACATCAGGGACAAGATTGTTGACCTGTACAAGGCTAGAATGGGATACAAGACCATCAGCAAGGAGCTTGGTGAGAAGGAGACAACTCTTGTAGTGATTATTCGTAAATGGAAGAAATACAAAATAACCATCAATCACCCTCGGTCTGGAGCTCCATGCAGGATTTCGCCTCATGGGGTGAGGATGATCATGAGAAAAGTGAGGGATCATCCAAGAACTAAATGGGAGGAGCTTGTGAATGATCTCAAGGCAGTTGGGACCGCAGTCACCAAACAAACCATTGGTAACACAATATACCGCCATGGATTGAAATCCTGCAGCACCTTCAAGGTCCCCCTCCTCAAGAAGGCACATGTACAGGCCCATATGAAGTTTGCCAATGAACATATAAATGATTCAGAGAAGGATTGGGAGAAGATGCTGTGGTCAGATGAGACCAAAATTGAGCTCTTTGACATTAACTTGCCTCGCCGTGTTTGGAGGAAGAAAAATGCTGACTATGACCCGGAGAACACCATCCCTACAGTCATGCATGGAGGTGGAAACATTATGCTGTGGGGCTGTTCCTCTGCTAAAGATACAGGCCAACTTTGCTGCATTGAGGGGCCAATGGATGGGGCCATGTATTGTAAAATCTTGGATGAGACCCTTCTTTCCTCAGCCAGAACACTGAAGATGGGTCGTGGATGGGTCTTCCAGCATGACAATGACTCAAAACATACCACCAAGGCAACAAAGGAGTGGCTCAAGAAGAAGCACATTAACCACTAGCCTACTGGGCACTTATACCCCCTTCCTGCCCAGGCCAATTTCCAGCTTTCAGCGCTGTCGCACTTTGAATGACAATTGCGCGGTCATGCAACACTTTACCCATATGAAATGTTTATTATTTTTTGTGACAGAGCTTTCTTTTTGTGGTATTTAATCACCTCTGGGTTTTTTATTTTTTCTTAAACCAAAAACCACTGAAAATTTTGAAAATTAAAATTTTTTTTTCTTACTTCTTGTTATAAAAGTTTGTAAATAAGTGATTTTTCTCCTTCACTCATGTGCGCTAATGAGGCGGCAGTGATGGGCACTGATAGGCTGCACTGATGGGGAGGCACTGGTAGGTGACACTGATGGGCATTGACAGGCATCACTGATGGGCACTGAAAGGCATCACTGATAGGTGGCACTGATAGGTGGCACTGATAGGCGGCACTGACTGGCACTGATTGGCATTGATAGGTGGCACTGACTGGCACTGATGGATGACACTGAAAGGCAGCTCAGATGGGCACTGATATGTTGCATTGAGGTGCACTGGTATGCACTGATATGTGGCATTGATGTGGCACTGATCGGCACTGACAGCTGGCACTGGTGGACTTTGACAGGTGGCACTGCTGGGGCTACACTGATCATCAGGGCACACTGATCATCAGTGCTCTGATGATCAGTGTACATGTCCCCTCCGTGGAAAGCCGATTACCGGCTCTGCTCTCCTCTTGAGCTGTCAGCGTGACAGCTCGAGAGGAGAGAAATGCCAATAACCGGCATTTCCGTGTTTACATGTGATCAGCTCTGATTGGACACAGCTGATCACATGACCAAGCTGACATCTTTGGCTCTTTCCGTGATCGGTGATCCACTGTGTCCGAGGGACACAGCGCATCGCCGATCGCCGCGCTGCGCGCTCCCTGAGCCGCGCATGCGTGGTGAGAATGGGAGGACGTCATATGACGTCCTCTCAGAACGAGAGAACCACCTTGCGCCCGTCATTGGACAATTGGACGTCATTGGCCCACATCTGTTCACCCCCCTATGGACCAGAGCCATTTTTACATTTCGGCTATGGACCTGTGTATTTGGCAATAACTTTGTCATTACCTCAGATAAAAATGTAATAATACATATATTGTTTTTTTTTTTTTTCTTCAAAGACGAGGCTTTCTTTTCGTGAATATTGTCTTGCAACAGTGATTATTTTTATCCGCAATCCTTAAACAATTCAATGTAACAAAACACGCTTTGTTAGTATAAAATAAACTGTGTTACTGCACATAAGAAGGGAACATTTTAATTCTGTAATTTTGTCCAGTTTAAAATGACACTAAAATTATGATTCTGGTACAAAGCATTGCAAAGCTATTCACAAATTAAAGTGTTTTTTTTTTTTTTTCTCAATTTTGCGCTTTTTTAAATGTGAAGTTAGTAAATATATGTTAAATGTGTTAAAATATTAACGAAAAAAAAAAAAAAAACAAAAACTTAAAAGGTTTAAATATTAATTTAAATAGAAATTAACAAAATCAATATTTGAATGGAGGAGAATAAGGAGTTAATTAGGGCTGATTAGCGTAAAGTAAGGGTTAAAAAAGGGTTTAACCAGCTCCACACCACCCTATAGCAGAAATACGGGTACAGGGAGGCACGGGTGCGCAAAATCACGTGTGTGTGTGTGTGTGTGTGTGTGTGTGTGTGTATGTATATATATATATATATATATATATATATATATATATATATATACATATACAGTGGAGATCGAAAGTTTGGGCACCCCAGCTAAAAATTTGCATTAATGTGCATAAAGAAGCCAAGGAAAGATGGAAAAATCTCCAAAAGGCATCAAATTACAGATTAGACATTCTTATAATATGTCAACAAAAGTTAGATTTTATTTCCATCATTTACACTTTCAAAATAACAGAAAACAAAAAAATGCGGCCTGCAAAAGTTTGGGCACCCTGCAGAATTTATAGCATGCACTGCCCCCTTTGCCAAGCTGAGACCTGCCAGTGTCATGGATTGTTCTCAATCATCGTCTGGGAAGACCAGGTGATGTCAATCTCAAAGGTTTTAAATGCCCAGACTCATCTGACCTTGCCCCAACAATCAGCACCATGGGTTCTTCTAAGCAGTTGTCTAGAAAACTGAAACTGAAAATAGTTGACGCTCACAAAGCTGGAGAAGGCTATAAGAAGATAGCAAAGCGTTTTCAGATGTCAATATCCTCTGTTCGGAATGTAATTAAGAAATGGCAGTCATCAGGAACAGTGGAAGTTAAAGCAAGATCTGGAAGACCAAGAAAAATAGACAGAACAGCTCGCAGGATTGTGAGAAAAACAATTCAAAACCCACGTTTGACTGCACGATCCCTCCAGAACGATCTGGCAGACACTGGAGTTGTGGTACACTATTCCACTATAAAGAGATACTTGTACAAATATGGTCTTCATGGAAGAGTCATCAGAAGAAAACCTCTTCTACGTCCTCACCACAAAAATCATCGTTTGAACTTTGCAAATGAACATATAGACAAGCCTGATGCATTTTGGAAACATGTCTGTGGACCGATGAGGTTAAAATTGAACTTTTTGGCCGGAATGAGCAAAGGTACGTTTGGAGAAGAAGGGGCACAGAGTTTAATGAAAAGAACCTCTGTCCAACTGTTAAGCATGGGGTTGGATCAATCATGCTTTGGGGTTGTGTTGCAGCCAGTGGCACAGGGAACATCTCACGAGTAGAAGGAAAAATGGATTCAATAAAATTTCAGCAAATTTTGAATGGTAACTTGATGCCATCTGTAAAAAAGCTGAAGTTAAAGAGAGGATGGCTTCTACAAATGGATAATGATCCTAAACACACCTCGAAATCCATGGGGGATTACATCAAGAGGCGTAAACTGAAGGTTTTGCCATGGCCTTCACAATCTCCTGACCTCAACATAATTGAAAATCTATGGATAGACCTTAAAAGAGCAGTGCGTGACAGACAGCCCAGAAATCTCAAAGAACTGGAAGACTTTTGTAAGGAAGAATGGGCAAAGATACCTCAAACAAGAATTGAAAGACTCTTGGCTGGCTACAAAAAGCGTTTACAAGCTGTGATACTTGCCAAAGGGGGCAGTACAAGATATTAACTCTGCAGGGTGCCCAAACTTTTGCAGACGCCATTTTTTTTATTTTCTGTTATTTTGAAAGTGTAAATGATGGAAATAAAATCTAACTTTTGTTGACATATTATAAGAATGTCTAATCTGTAATTTGATGCCTTTTGGAGATTTTTCCATCTTTCCTTGGCTTCTTTATGCACATTAATACAAATTTTTAGCTGGGGTGCCCAAACTTTCGATCCCCACTGTATATACATGATTTTGCAGTTCGGGGAGGGGGGGCGCGCCTTGCCTGCACCGCCATTCCCAGCCTCGGCTGTCAATCACCAGGTCCCAGACGGTGATTACTCTCTGACGGGGGAGAGACCTGTGTATAAACAACACAGATCTCTCCCCTGTCAGCTCCTCCACACAGCATTGTATGTAAGCAGTGTGCTTACAGTGAAACACACACAGCCCCCCATAGTGAAACAGCACACAGTTAACTTTTTGATCTCCCCAGTGCCATTAGTAGTGTCAGTGCTTTTTATTAGCACTGATCACTGTATTGGTGTCACTGGGGATGTCAAGTCAGTTCCGCCCAGTGTCAGAATGATTGCCACCATTACTAGTAAAAAAAAAAAAAAATTTCCAGTATATATACCACCATTTGTAGATGCTATAACTTTCATGTAAACCAATTAAGTTACTTGTATTGGGATTTTTTTGTTAGTAAAGACACGAAGAAGAGTAAAAATAAAATGAGTGCGCTGTACACTAATATCCTGACACAGTAAATAAAAAGTGCCCACAAACTGGTCAGGGCAAGTGGTTAAAAAAACTTTTTTCTTTTCTTTAACTTGTCAGGTTGCTTTAACAGACTTCATCTGCAGATGGAAGTTAACCCCTCTGATCTGTAGATGAATAAACAGATAGGATATGAGCATTGCTGTTGATAAACATTGCCAGACTGCTTTAGTTTGACACCTCCAGCTGTCAGTACTTCCTCTGTGTACTGGGCAATGCTGCTCAGATCTGAGTACTGTGACAGGAGAGGTACTGTCAGCATGGCAGGAGGCCTGGAGGTGTTACCCCCTGTGTACAATGATGACATTTATTTGTGTCCAACACATTCAGAGTCTGCAACTGGTTAAGGTCTGAAAAATTAAAGGTCCACACTAAAATATTTGAGTTCAAAACGTGGGATTTTATTCATCCATATTAATTTTATCCATTTATGATGAATAAATGTTTTGGGGGCCACACAGTTCTCCCTTCATCAGGGCCATAAGATCGTTGATGTGGATTCTTGAGTGATGATGAATGAGTTCTGGGTCTATATGGGAACTCTCTCACATTTAGTAGCTGGTTGGGGCAAAACGTTAACCTGTAGTCTTACTTTTTCAGCATCACTCATGAACAAGTCCTGATGAAGTGGGAGCCGTGTGGCTCCAAAAATGCGTTTGCTTAAACAAGTTTGGAATAAAATCCCCAAAATTTTAGTGTTTCAATTTTTTTTTTTTTGGAACCTTAAACAAGGTTGTTGTGTTCTGGCAGTCACAGCATCAATGGCTGTCAGAATATCTGAACAGTGGCTGCATCTGATGCAGCCGCTGTTTGGCAAAAAATCTTCAGGCCGGCTTCTTTGGTTTTCAGATTGAAAGATGTCTGGTAGGAGGGTTCCTACAGGGCCATGTATGGTCAGATCAAGTGGATTTAGGGATTGCCAACAGCTATGCTGATTTCATCGTCTTTGCTTAGTAAAGCGCTGACATACAAAGGATCCCTGAGTGTCTTCTTTAGATTTCATTTGTAAATCTATTTAATTCTGTCCCAATGCTTCAGTATTTTGGTAAAAACTTTCTAATAAGTTTTCCTGAAGGGTTTTATTCTCTAGAATAAAGCTGAATTCTGTCTGCATGTTTACTTAAAGCACTAAAATGATGTTCTGGATCTTGTCTGTTGTATGTGACAGCGGTTTAGAAGATGACTACCGCGGCCAGGCCAACGTTTGAGCCAGCCAGGGGCGGCAGAGGGAAAGGAGAAGGAGATCTAAGTCAGCTTTCCAAACAATATTCCAGCAGAGACCTCCCGTCACACACGAAGATCAAATACAGGTAATATGGCAAATCTGGCACCTTTTTCCTGTGGAGGATGTTCAGTGTTTGAACTGAAGCTTTAGACCTGAAGGATATGTTTGGGGAAAAAAAACAAAAGCATATTCAGACTTCAGTACATATCTGCAAAACACTCCCATTTTCAGCACTGTCAGGTTCTCACCTGCTGGACTGGAGAAAAATATCCTTTATGCTGTGGAGAGGGGAAGGTGTTCTATAGCCCATCAGGGATGACGACCTCTTTTGCAAAGGCTTAAAATAACACTGTAGGTGAATGGTTTAAATCAAAAGAATTCAAAACAATTATACTGTAGTTGTAGTAGGCCAAAAAAACAGTGATTTATATATGTTGTATTGTTTTCAGGATATGCATTTCTGTTTCCAGCTATAAGTCAAGGTAACAGTAGTTGTGAGAAGGGTAATACACTGCACAAACAAATTAAAGGGACACTATGAAAACACATCAGATCTCAATGGGGAAAAACCTCATGCTGCATATCTATACTGATATGGACGGGGTAATGTGTTAGGAATGTAAGGATGCCCCGTCATTTGATGGAAATGAAAATTATTATCAACCTACAGAGGACTGAGTTCAAATACACCCCAAAAATCATTGGGGCATGCTCCTAATGAGACAACGGATGGTGTCCTGGGGGATTTCCTCCCAGATCTGGACCAGGGCATCACTGAGCTCCTGGACAGTCTGAGGTGCAACCTGGCGGCGTCGGATGGACCAAAACATGATATCCCAGAGGTGTTCTATTGGATTTAGGTCAGGCGAGCGTGGGGGCCATTCAATGGTATCAATTCCTTCATCCCCCAGGAACTGCCTGCATACTCTCGTCACATGAGGCTGGGCATTGTCGTGCACCAGGAGGAACCCAGGACCCACTGCACCAGAGTAGGGTCTGACAATGGGTCCAAGGATTTCATCCTGATACCTAATGGCAGTCAGGGTGCCATTGTCTAGCCTGTAGAGGTCTGTGCGCCCCTCCATGGATATGCCTCCCCAGACCATCATTGACCCACCACCAAAACGGCCATGCTGAACCATGTTACAGGCAGCATAATGTTCTCCACAGCTTCTCCAGACCCTTTCATGTCTCTCACATGTGCTCAGGGTGAACCTGCTCTCATCTGTGAAAAGCACAGGGTGCCAGTGGTGGATCTGCCAATTCTGGTGTTCAATGGCAAATGCCAATCAAGCTCTGTGGTACTGGGCAGTGAGCACAGGGCCCGCTAGAGGACATTGGGCCCTCAGGCCACCCTCATGAAGTCTGTTTCTGATTGTTTGGTTAGAGACATTCACACCTGTGTCCTGCTGGAGGTCATGTTGTAGGGCTCTGGCAGTGTTCTTCCTGTTCCTCCTTGCACAAAGGAGCAGATACCGATCCTGCTGATGGGTTAAGGACCTTCTATGGCCCTGTCCAGCTCTCCGAGTAACTGCCTGTCTCCTGGAATCTCCTCCATGCTCTTGAGACTGTGCTGGGAGACCGCAAACCTTCTGGCAATAGAATGTATTGATGTGCCATCCTGGAGGAGTTGGACTGTCTGTGCAACCTCTGTAGGGTCCAGGTATGGCCTCATGCTACCAGTAGTGACACTGACCTAATGCAAAACTAGTGAAAAACAGTCAGAAAAGATGAGCCGGGAAAAAAATGTCAGTGGCCTCCACCTGTAAAACCATTCCTGTTTTGGGGGTCATCTCATTGTTGCCCATCTAGTGCACCTGTTGTTAATTTCATTAACACCAAAGTAACTGAAACTGATTAACAACTCCCTCTGCTACTTATCCGACCAGATTAATATCCCAGGAGTTCAATTGATGCTATACTTTTGATTATATAGTGTTTAATTTTTTTTTAGCAGAGTATATATGATTTGCTTTTTTCTTTTTCTTTTTTTTTTTTTTTTTTTTTTTATGTTTAGGCAAACCACCCAGGATGCCCCTGAGGAGGTGAGAAGCCGGGACTTCAGGAGGGAGCTGGAGGAGAGAGAACGTGTGGTTGTACGAGAGAAGAACAGAGACCGACCACCAAGAGGTAGGCTTTTTATGTGTCATTGCTTGTCAGTGTGTAGAATTTCATCAGTGAGGGAACTGAAAATCTGGTGCAATTTTTTTTTTTTTTTTTTTTAAACCTCTCAGCCAGGAAAAATCCATTCACAGATTTCCCCTGGGTTGTATGTACAGAAAAACTGTCAGACTCTATGGGCTGGGAATGCAGCTGATGGTGTGCAGAGGTGACATTAAGGCCTCAATTAGACTTGTGGTTGGGAGAGGTAAAACACACAGTTGAGCTGCATTTTTACTGCCCTCCAATCTCTCCCCCTTAAGCTGCAAGGGCAGTGGACGGGGGTTTACATAGGCTTTGAATTGTGGCGCATCAAAATGATCCCACCAGTATCACGTACCGCCTACCGCATGTGACCAGTTCAGCTGAACAGGGGCCACGCCGCAACCACTATGCAATATTTATTTATTTTATACAATCGACATAATGTTTCTTCACTGCTTGCCAAACTACCATTCAAAATGGGATCCTCTGCAAATCACTCGTTAGAGGGGGACGCCAGAGTAAACAAGCCATAAGGGTCTGATGGACCCAGACGTTTCCTGGAGGAGAACTTGTCACCTGAACTTTGCTATGTCATAGGGGGCTTGTCAGTCCCTTTGTAATAACAATACAATTGGGTCAAGAAAGGAAACGCTTTGCTGCCTGTACTGCAAAACTCCACCCTGCTCTAAAGAAATCTCACCTCTGACGTGTGCTCAGAAACCGACCTTTCTGGACGCTTCCATTCGCTGTTTCCTGCAATGCTCATTGGTTCCTCTCACCCGCCTACTGTGTTCTGCAGTGATGTAGGGATTGACACTCCTGGAAATGGTGGTTTCGGAAGCTGCTTCAGAGGACAATTTCTTCACAGCAGAGTGACTTTCAGCCTTGCTGGAAGCAGGAGAGGTAAGTATTTACTATTCTTTACCCTGGCACTGAACTAGATCAAACCTTGATCTAGGTATTTTTTCTTTTTCTTTTTTAATATTTATTTTTTTAACAAACTTTTTTTTTTCCCCTCTATGCCAGGAGTTAGAGAGATACAATGTATCTCTCTCCTCCGTTCACAGAGAGAAAAAAAACAAGGGGGCCGGGCTGTACAGTGACTGATCACTGTGGTAGCCAATAAGAGGCTAGCACAGTGATCATGTGACCCAGAATCGGGAGTCCTGTTAGAACGGGACCCTTGGCTCTCAGTGATACCCCGGTCTTTATGCTGGGAGCGCGCTGTGTGGTGCTCTCCCAGCAGAAAAACAGGTGCGCAAATATGCGGCCCCACGGAAAAAAGCCCAGTTCCGTGAGGCTGCATATTTTGTGTTATGTCGGCATGGAGGGGTTAAGGTTAGATACCCCACAATAGTTTACCATTTTTATGTCCCTTTGAAGTTTCAACCACAAGGACGGAAAAAAGCCCAGTTCTGTGAGGCCGCATATTTGTGTTACATTGGCGTCAAGGGGTTAATAATTCTGCTGCCAAATGTGTGTGCTGTAAACTTCCTCCAGCATTGCTCATTTTTCTTCTTGCCGGAGGCTGCCATTTTGTTAAAATGTCCAGAGCCCCTGAACAGCAGTAAATCATAAAGCATAACTAAACCCATCGATTTACTGTTTAGTAATAAAAAACAGTTACATTCCTGGAATGTAACTGTCACATTTGCTTGGACTTGGTAAAATTGGATGATCACATTGATGTGTAGTTTGCTGGTGAATGACAAGAACCGTTGTGCGATTTATGTCCATGTAAGCCCAGACCACAACTTAGTCTGGCTGTCAATCTCAAGAGGAATGTCACAGCACTGGGCAGATTCTTGGGATGAGCCTCACCCCCAGTACTGGGCAGACTGTTTTAAAAAATACAATGCCATTTAAGGCTCCGTTCACACCAATGCTTTTTTTAGGGCTGTTTGCAGAAGCGCACTACAGTCCATTGAACATGGTTTCCTATGGAATGTTTTCACATCTATGCTTTTTTGAGCTGCAGTGTTTTTGGAAAGGTTCAGGAACTTTTCTTAAGAGCAAAAAGCAGCGTTTTGCTACAATAGCGTTCAAAAGAGAATCTGCTGAAATACATGGTAGTGCGTTTTTGCAGCATTTTGCATTTTTATTCTGCCCAGCATAAAAAAAAAAAAAAAAAATCTGAACAAAACGCGGCAAAAACATGTGAAGAAAAATGCAAAACTAACTGAGAAAAGCACTGCAACACTGCCAAAAAGCAAACTGCATAGATGTGAACTGAGCCTAAAAGCTGTCAGGGTGTGATTTCCTAGCCTGCTTTGTTATTGGTGTACTTCACATAAGCTTTAGTTTTAGAAAGAAATTAGTAATTGTACATTAATATTTGCAGAAATATGTTGGATGTTTTAGTTTGTTTATTGGATAGGTTTCAGTGTGAAACTTTAGCTGGAACTTTTTTTTTTTTTTTTTTTTTTTTTTTTTTTTTTTTTTTATAGAAAGACAAGTTGTTGATTTTGGTTGAAATGCATAACATGATGTTAGATATAATTTCTCTATGAAAATATAACTATTTTTGTTTTAGAGCACTCATCATCCGTGTCAAAGAAGCCTCGTCTAGACCAGATTCCAGCAGCAAATCTGGATGCAGATGACCCACTCACAGACGTACGTAACAGGCTCAGACTTTCTCACCAGTTGTCATTTCCCAGCCCAAGATGAGTGGGGACTATTATTTTTTTTTTTAACCACTTCAGCTTCGGAAGAATAATACCCCCTTCATGACCAGGCCATTTTTGCTAATTGGTACTGTTACATTTTCTGGAAATTGCATGGTCATGCAACACTGTATGCAAATTACATTTATATAATTTTTTTTAGTGGCATTTGAACATCACTGGGGGGTTTTTTATTATATAAATGAAAAAAGACAATTTTTTTTTAATTAAAAAAAAATTCTATTTTCCGTTATTTATTTCAGGTACTTATATAGCGCTGTCCATTTATGCAGCAATGTTACATATATATTGTACATTCACATCAGTCCCTAACCCTCAAGGGGTGTACAATCTAAGGTCCCTAACTTACATTCATACAAACACGTACTAGGGCCAATTTAGACAGGATCCAATTAACCTGCCAGCATGTCTTTGGAGTGTAGAAGAAAACCGGAGTACCCGGAGGAAACCCACGCAGGCACAGGGAGAACATTCAAACTCCAGGCAGGAGGTGCCGTGGCTGGGATTTGAACCAACGACCCTAGTACTGCCAGGCGGAAGTGCTAACCATTTAGCTATATAAATAGTGAATACTTGTGAGCTATTATCAATGAGGCATTCAGTGGGTAGTATGAAATTATCTGCTGATTTAATGTGTCTAGGTGCGCTGGCTCTTGCACAGACTCACTTGCTAGTGTATATACAATATATAAATATATAGTGCCGCGCTCCTATTTGCTTATATATATATATATATATATCTTGATCCTTAGGGTATATGAATTAATATCTGAAACAATTCATAAATCACTGTGACTAGTGAATAAAAATAATCAATATTAAGTAATAAATAATAATAAATCACTAGTGAATCACTATAACTGGTGAATCAAATGAATAAAAATATGAATCAGCAACCTACATAAATGTGACTGATAACAATCAATCCTTAATTAAATGTGACTATAAAAGAATTAAATTCAAATCAACACAAATCTAAATCTGTGCCCCTCTGTTCTGCTGTGATCACTCCATATATATAGTGCAAAAGCATACATATAAGTGCAAGTGCAAATACATAAAATAAAAGACAATAGATTAAAAAGTCTTTCAAATAAGTGCAGTGTGCAGGTGGGTTCCTTATTCCCTCTCGCTGAGTGCTTAGTGGTCTCCCTATGCGCTCACCTTAATATTTGCCTGAATAAATTCAGGCAAATATGCTTTTAATCCTTCCAGGATTGATGGGATGATACTCTTTTATATAAGCTGTTCCAGAAGGTAGATATGGATTTATAGGGATTCTCCTGTGCTCTCCTCTTTCCCTTTGTGCATCTGCTCATAAATGGACTTCCTGACCAGCTCTCTAGGAATCTCCTACTTCCCCTCCTGGGGTCACCACCTTCTACCCCTGATGAAGTCACGTGACCCTGTGACGCAACGCGTAGGGGAGGGGCTCTGACGTCACGACGTTGCATCAGAGAGGCTCGGTGATTCCAGTGCACGGAGGCAGACAGCATTACAGAGGCAGAGTATTACTGTATGTTACCATCAAGGCTGTCCTGGATCACATCAAAGCCGTGTAATACCGCAACTGGCAGCAATAAATGTCCTTTATACACAAGGATAAGACACCATGGTCTTTTTTCTTCTCTCTCTCAATTGACCCGCATTCCTTATGCTGGTGAAAGGAGGATTGGAGAAGGTGGTGACCCCAGGAGGGGAAGTAGGAGATTCCTAGAGAGCTGGTCAGGAAGTCCATTTATGAGCAGCTGCACAAAGGGAAAGAGGAGAGCACAGGAGAATCCCTATAAATCCATATCTACCTTCTGGAACAGCTTATATAAGAGTATCATCCCATCAATCCTGGAAGGATTAAAAGCGTATTTGCCTGAATTTATTCAGGCAAATATTAAGGTGAGCGCATAGGGAGACCACTAAGCACTCGGCGAGAGGGAATAAGGAACCCACCTGCACACTGCACTTATTTGGAAGACTTTTTAATCTATTGTCTTTTATTTTATGTATTTGCTCTTGCACTTATATGTATGCTTTTGCACTATATAGATGGAGTGATCACAGCAGAACAGAGGGGCACAGATTTAGAATTGTGTTGATTTGAATTTAATTCTTTTATAGTCACATTTAATTAAGGATTGATTGTTATCAGTCACATTTATGTAGGTTGCTGATTCATATTTTTATTCATTTGATTCACCAGTTATAGTGATTCACTAGTGATTTATTATTATTTATTACTTAATATTGATTATTTTTATTCACTAGTCACAGTGATTTATGAATTGTTTCAGATATTAATTCATATACCCTAAGGATCAAGATATATATATATATATATATATATATATATATATATATATAAGCAAATAGGAGCGCGGTACTAATCCATTTAGCTACGGTGCTGCCCAATTACATGTCTTTGGTAAACAAAATCCCAATTTAGTGTATATTATTTAGTCTGTAGGAATGTGATTTCATCCACAAACTATGGTGTGTGTGTGTATATATATATATATATATATATATATATATATATATATTTAAAAATTGATCAATCCTGATGTACTGATGGCCAATCTAATTTTTTCAAGGCCCCTAAAATGTCAGGACAGTCCAAATTTCCCCCAATTACCCCTTTTTCAAAAGTAGTCTGAAGTAGACGCATGGCAAGTTTTTTTTGAAGTTGTAATATGTTTGTCAATGTTTTGGAAAATTAAGATTTTTTTTTTTTTTACATATTTTCACCAGCACAGTACAGCATCATGATATCACTGGTGTGGTGATCACTGACTGGTGACAGCATGTTTAAAAAAAAAAAAAAAAAAAAATCTTAAAGATTTTAAAATCTTAAACATTTTAAATATATTGAAACTTTTTTTTTATTTTTACTATTTTTTTAAATACTTTCATCAAAGTAGTTCAATGTTACTATAGTGAGTTTCCATGGCCTAGCAGCTGCATCCAACCAAGTCTTACATCACCAAAGTCCAATGCAAAGCGTCGGATGCAGTGGTGTAAAGCATGCCGCCACTGGACTCTAGAGCAGTGGAGACGTGTTCTCTGAGTGACCAATCTCTCTTCTCTGTCTGGGAATCCGATGGACGTGTCTGGGTTTGGCAGTTGCCAGGAGAACGGTACTTGCCTGACTGCATTGTGCCAAGTGTATAGTTTGGTGGAGGGTGGATTATGGTGTGGGGTTGTTTTTTAGGGGTTGTGTTTGGTCCCCTTAGTTCCAGTAAAGTGAACTCTTAAGGCATCAGCATACCATGATATTTTGGACAATTTCATGCTCCCAATTTTGTGAGAACTGTTTGGGGATGGCCCCTTCCTGTTCCAACATGACTGCACACCAGTGCACAAAGCAAGATCCACATGGACATGGAGGAGTGAGTTTGGGGTGGAGGAACTTGACTGGCCTGCACAGAGTCCAGACCTCAACCCCATAGAACACCTTTGGGATGAATTAGAGTGCAAACTGTGAGCCAGGCCTTCTCCTCCGACATCAGTGCCTGACCTCACAAATGCACTTCTGGAAGAAACATTTTTTTCCTGAAATTAGAAGCAGTTGTGCATTCCCTTTTTTTCCCCTTTTAATTTAAATGGGATTTTTTGTTTTTTGATTAAATGGAAATTTTATTAGTTTTAGATTTTAAAAGTGTTGTTTTTTTTTGCCTTGTTTCTGCTATTGAAACTTTGATGGCATTTTAAAACACGGAACTGTATTGCCGATAATACAAGCTACAGGCAAAGTGATGTACCCGTGCAACAGAGTACGTCGGACACAGCAGAATGCAGATGCCGTTAAACGGGACCCGGTGGTCATGTGATCGCTGTGTGATCAAATGGGCACAATCTTAGCAAAGCTGTTATTAATCAGTTTGATTCATAACAGCTCTGCTTTTCTTCCTGGTGAGCTGTGGTTGGTCCAAAGCTCTTACATGGTACCTGGGCCAATCACAGCAAACTACTGAATTTTGAACTGCCATTAACTTAACCCAATTATGACAGTTCAAAGCAAGCATTGCATTGCAGGAACAATAATCTTTATTGCTCCTGCAATGCAAAGTGTAAAAAAAAAAAAAAAAAAAAAAAAGGTAACATTGTACTACTTTGATGAAAGTTAAAAAAAATAATATCTCAATACAGTATTGATTTTTTTAAAGGCTTTTTTCCCCCTCTTTTAACTACTTGCCGCCTGCCTGCAATGTGCGGGTGAGGAATGCGATGTACCCTTACATCGCTTTCCATTTCTGGGTGTGAGTGAGCATGCGCCCCCCCTGTCCAGGGAGAGAAGAGAGTACCACACTCCATCACTCAGCCAGTGCCATTAGTACAGTGTCAGCATGTAGAATTTTTCACTGATCACAGATAGCATCAGGGTCAGTTAGAGCCCCTCCCAGCCAGGGTCAGCTAGCGTTAGATTGCCCGCAGACTATCACACTCACGCTATTGGTCGCTAATCACTGCCATTATCAGTACAGTGTTTGTATGGATCAATATATTGATCATGAAGAGAACTGTACTAGTGCCTCCTTAGTATAGTGTTCCCAAAAATGCAGTGTTAGCAGTAATTTTATAGCAAAAAACTGGTTTTCCTGTAAGTAAAAATTGTCAGAAAAGGCTTTGTCTCCAAGTGGTTAGAAGAGTGGGTGATGTGTGGCATAAGCTTCTAAATTTGGGCGTGAAATGCCAGGATAGTAGAAGCACCCCCTCCCCCCAATGACCCCTTTTTTGGGAAGTTGACACTCCAAGGTATTTGCTAAGGGCATGGTGAGTTTTTTTACAGATCTCATTTGCTGCCACAATTTTATGGAAAATTAAAAAAATGAAAATGTATTTTTTCTTTTTCAAAACCCTTTGACAAAAATGATATCTGCAAAGTACTCACTGTGCCCTTCTCAAATTCCTTCGTGGGGTGTCTACTTTCCAAAA